CGCGCGCGCTCTCGTGTGTGCATGGGGATTCAGAGGGCAAAGGACAACCTCAGGTGTCATTTTTAGGTCACTGTCCACATTTTTTTTGAGACAGTTTCTCATTGTCCTTGAATTTGTAGTCTACAGTGGTTGGCCAACAGTTCCTGTCTCCTCCACCTACCCAGCTTTGAGATTACAAGTGTGCTAATGCCCAGATTTTGTGCACAGATTCTGGGGATCAGACCCAATTCCCTGTGCTTGAGAGGCCTTGCCTCAGAAAGGAAAAAAAAAAAGGGTGTTTAGCTCAACTCAGCTGAGCATCTTAGTTGTCTATCAAAAGCAGAGATCAGTGAAAGGTTGGGGATTTGATTGTGTACAAAAAAAAGGCAGGGACCACAGGGCTCAAGGATCTGCAGCCTCTTGTTAGGTAAGCACTTAGCAAGGTTAGCTTCAGGGAATGCAGAAGGGTGTGAATGACTCCCAGGAGACAGGTGTCAATGTGGGCAGGGCTAGCGGCTTTCTTCCTGAGGATATGAAGCTGACTCCTTGAAAAGGAACAGACCACCTACCTGCACATGGCTGTGTTTGTCTGCCTCGTAGAGGCACTTTGAATGGCACAGAAGCCTCTTGAAATGAATTGTTCTCTGAGTTATAAATACAGTCAGCTTTCTGTATCCATGGATTTTACAGTTGTAGATTTAACCAACGGTGACTGGGAAATATTAGGAAGAAAAATTGCCTTTGTTCCGAGCATGTTCACAGACGCTTTCCCTTGTCATTATTCCTTAAGCTGTAGAATAACGATAACTCTTCACATGGGCATTTGCATTGCATTAGGCATCATTTAGTAATCTGGAGAGGATGTACTCAGAGGGTGTGGGTAGGTTATATGCAAATACTAAGCCATTTTATATAACGGTCTTAAATGCAGATTTTGTTATTTGTGTGGGCCCTGGAACCAATACTCTGGAATACTAAGGGACAGACAGGATGCAGTTGACAATGTAGCTTCACTGTGTAATTTAGCTCTGGAAGCCCCTAGTGTTGGGTGAGGGGCAGGGGTGACCTTCAGTCTGTGAGGAGATTTTCTTTCTTATATTGTCCATTTTTATTAGTTACTGACTCTATGAGGCTACGGGGCATAGGAAGTGTGTCTAGTCTAAATTGTGATAAATTGTAAATAAAAGATACACTAGAGAAATTGAAGACTTAGTACTGATTTAAAAAAAGAAGAAAGAAAAGAGAATGCAACAATTTAAGAAATGGAGGCCATGAACTTTAGAGAGAGCTAAGGGGATTGAAATGGAGCGGTTGAAGGAAGGACAAGGAAGGGGAAATGATGTAATTATACTATAATCCCAAAAACTAAGTATATATATACACATATACATATGTAGCAAATTTAAATTATTGATTATACGCTATAATGGTTAACCTCGACTGCCAACTTGACAGGATTTAGAATCACCATAGAAACATGCCTCTGGATGTTTCCAGAAAGACTTAACTGAGGTGAGACATCCTATGCTGAATGTGGGTGGTGACCTCGTGGCCCAGGACCCTGGACTGAAGAAAGAGGCACAGCTCCTCAAATGAATTCCACCCTCTTCCTCCTTCCCCCCGTCCCCCCCCCTTTTTTTTCCTTTTCTTTCACAAGATCTTCTGTAGCATAGGTTGGCCTTCAGTGCCTGAGTGTTTTGCTTCTGGCTCCAGAGTGCTGAGATCACATGTACATGTGCTACTGTGTTTGGCTCCTTTTTAATTTTCAAAAATGTAACCACTAGGTGAAACGTTCAGGCATTATGCTGGCCTGCCCCTGTTACCTGGTGGAATCCACTCAGGCAGAACCCTGGTCAGCCCAGGGTTCCATGGGAACTGAGTCTGCACGCAGGTGCAAAGGACCCTTTAAAAGACAGACCCCTGCCCATTTATGCTCTCTCTACTCTCTACTCTTCTCTCTGCTTCTGCTCTTCTCTTCTCTCTGTCTCTTCTCTCTATATATATGGCGACTGGCCATGGTGGTCAGCCATTTACCCTGTTCCTCTTCTTAGTCTCTTTACTCTGCTGGGCCTTATAATAAACTGGTTAATATGTCTCATCTTGTGCTCTTCTTTTTCTTCTTCATTTCTAAAAATTTAAGCAAAAATTTAACACTAGGGTCTAGAAATGCAGCTTAGTAGGCAAAATGCTTTCCTGGTATTCATGAAGACCTGGGTTGGGTCCCCAGAACCACATAAACTAGATGGGGGCGGGGGGGGGGGGTTCCCGGTCCCTGCATGTATTCCCTGCTCCCTGCAGGGAGAGTCAAGAGGATCAGAAGCTCACTTGGTTTTTTGTTTTGTTTTGTTTTGTTTTTGTTTTTTAAGACAGCGTTTCTCTGCATAGCCCTAGCTGACCTGGAACCAGTTTTGTAGACCAGGCTGGTCTTGAACTTACAGATTCTCCTGCCTCTGCCTCCCGAGTGCTGGGATTAAAGGTGTGCTCCACCGCCACCCCGAGAAGACCAAAAGTTTAAAGTCATCTTCTGCTAGATAGCAAGCTTGAGTCCAGCCTGAGATATGAGACTGTTAAAAACAAAAGGGAGGTACTATAAAAAGAAGTGGTCTGTGTAAGGATTCAGGCGTTATGCTGGCCTGCCCCTGTCACCTGGCAGAATGCACTCAGGCAATAGTCTGTAGGCAGATGCAAAGGACCCCTTTAAAAGAAAGATCCTTGACCACTTATGCTGTCTTTCCAGCTGATCCCCGGGGGCAGACAGGACTTTTCCTGTCTCCCTCTTTTCTTCTGTCCTCTCTTTGTGTGTCTTTATCTCTCTCTCTTTCCCCCTTCCCTCACTTTCTAATAAAACTTCTCACTAAAGCTCTGTCTGCCTGGCATTTTTGTCCCCCCCTCGGTCACCCTCGCCTGCCAAGGAATCCACCAAAGTCCCCCCACACGCTTTTTGGTAACTGTCTGTGCTAGAGACATCTTTAGTTATCACAACTGGGTGGGGGTTCCACTGGAATCTTGAGTAGAGCCTTGTGTGCTGCCCAGAATCCTGCAGTATACATGAAGCCTTCCATAGCGTGGATGTACTCAATCCTAAATACCAGTGTGTCAAGGTTGAGAGATGCTAGCCCACGCCTAGAAAGGACCTTGGACTTTGGATATCCCTGATTAGAGGTCAGAAGGGAGGATCAGGATGCTGACAGTGTGGGACACCGGTTCCCCTCTTCTATCCATGCTTTGTCATCAGTGACTCATGGCCCTTCCCCTACACACCTGTTTTGAGTCTGTTTGAATGGTTCACAGTGGAGACGATGAAAGCCTAGCTGTGAGTCACATGCTTGTTGCCTGGGGTGTGGCCCTGTCCCAGCTGGAAATAGACTGTCTGGGGGAAGAGTCTTTGTCTTCCACCTTTACCTTGAACATCTATTTTGTTCTGATTCTTTTGTTTTGTTTTGTTTTGTTTTTCAAGACAAGGTTTCTCTGTATTGCTTTGGAGGCTGTCCTGGACCTCGCTCTTTAGCCCAGGCTGGCCTCGAACTCACAGAGATCCACCTGCCTCTGCCTCCCGAGTGCTGGGATTAAAGGCATATACCACCCAAAACCCGGCTTTGTTCTGGTTCTTGCTCTTTCTGAAACTTTCTTGCGTTCTCCTGGAGCTCACCCACCCTGTCAGAATGACTCCTTGAAGGAGGCAGCGGGTGGAAGCTGGTAGGCTTTTCCCAGAGGGAATAAAAGCTAAGTCCTTACTTCTGAATTCCGTGTAAAAATCCAGGTCAGCAGTGAGCAGCACAACTGATGTCTGTGCAGATCTGTTCGTTGAGTTCCCAAATGGATTTCTCTAAGTGCTAATTATAAACACCATCTCTGCAAGGCAAACTCCCCACAGAATCCCTGCACTGGAACCCACTATGAATGGGCTTTAAGAAGGGCTTACTGGTGGCAGAGGCTTTAAAAAGCAGATAGCCAAGGCTCAGAGGATGGCCAGGGATCTCCAGAGCAGGAGAAAGAGCCCATGCCCACAATCCCATGGCCTTCGTCCATATCCTGATGTCTTCTAGTACAGCTGCTCATCTCTGTGACTTCCATAAAAGGAAGGCAACAATAAAATGTACAACAGGGGATATTCAGAACTGCTGTCAACTCCCTCAGAGGGGATGTGGTTGTATGGAGCTAGTTCCAAGGACTGGTGGGTATGAGAGTGTGGGTGTGTTCAGATGGCTGGCTCCATGGACAAAAGGCTCTTGAGTACAACAGTGATGATTAGGTATGGGAGACATTTTCAGTCCTGTAACTTTGTGGCGGTTTATTGGGCTTTATCTAGAGGCAGCCTCCTTGCTCCCAAGAGAGAGATTCCAACCCATTATTTGGATGGTTGCTTTGTTCTTGTGCTGGGGACCAAATCTAGGTAGGGCCTTTCCTCCCTGGGCAAACCTACCACACTGAGCTAACCCCAGGCTTCACTATTTGGCTGTAATTTGCCTAGCATCTATTCTGTGACAAAGTCTGCACTAGGCACTTTGCTATATTATCTCATTTAAGCCAAACGCCATGCACTAATCTCAGTTTTCCATGCTGGGGCCAGGGGTGGAGAGACAAAGATAGATAAGAGAAGACACAAGCACACACTTAAGGCACCCCCTGCTGGTGTGGAAAGAAAACATAACACTGGTGCTGTGTGGCTGGGGCTGGTGGTATGTGGAGTGAGGAATTAGCCTGCTTAGCCTCCTGGTCTAAACTCTAGTGGCAGATGAGGTGACTCCGTGGTGACTCAAGCTCTTTGTCCATGGTGACTCAAGCACTTTATGGTGCCCACAGAGGCAACTGGATTCCACGACCTTGAGCCAGGGAGCACATGGAAGACCACCCAAATCTACCAGAAGTTTGGTTAAAACCAAAATGCTGGCAGCCAGGAGCAGCCAGGGATGTTGCCACCCTAACTCAGGAAAGAGAGTTACCAGCTGCTGGCTTTAGAGAACGAACTTTTTTCTCCTGCTGCACCCTTAGATCCAAAACTTTTCTAGACTTATGTGTCCCAGGCTAACCTCAAATTCCCTGTGTAGCAGAGGATGCCCTTGTTCTTTTGATCCTCCAACACCTCCCAAGTGCTGGGAGTATAGTCATATGCCTCCATGTCCTGTTTTTGCAGTGTTGGGGACAGAAGCCAGGGCTTTGTGCATGACAGGCACAACCAAAATAATCCCAGTCCTATATTATTTTTCTTCTTTAACAGGGGATAACAAGAGCACAGTGGAAGGAGGGTTTCTATGTGTGGCGCTAGAGATTTCCCACAAGAGGTTAGTTATATTTACTCTGGGGCTAGAATGATCACACAGTTTGTCAGCTGACAACGAGATGGGAGAAACACATTCCAGCCCTGGGGAGGTATGACTAAATTCCTGTCTACATGAGAATGTGCAGCTTAGCTCACCCCTCTAGGACGCACTGACTCTCTTAAGGGCAGGCTATGGTAGGGAGTGAGGAGTGGTCCCTGGAAAGCTAGATTGGTGCAGTCTCTCATAAAACAATGTTAAAAGGTCTCTAATATTCTCCCTGGGTCCCAAAAGCTCACAAAGTAAAATTGCACAAAAGTCACTCCTGTACTTCCTTATTCCTTTTTGGTGGGGGGAGGGGTCAAAGATATGTCACAGCAAAGAGGCCCTCAGGGGTCATTTTGTGAAGCTGTGAAAGTGAAGCCCAAGCTTCCATGGAGACTCCAGGAAACTGGAGACGCCAAGACCATGGGACGTTCAGCAAGGAAAGCTGTACTAGGGCTACCTGAAGCCTAAGAGAGAATCTGTATGTGCTCTCTGTGGGCGGCAGGGATGGAGGATTGATTGGGGTGGCCCAAGTGTTTCGGGGCCCAGTTGGTTACAAGTCCCAGTTGCCAAACATGCAGCTGCAGGATGTTTTTTTTTGTTTGTTTTTGTTTTTTTTTCTGTTGGATTTTTGTCTTTGGTTTGGTCACTTCTTGCTATGCCCCAAATTCTTCCGTTTTGAAACGGGAATGTTTATTCTTTGTCACTATATGATGGAACTATGTAACTGACTTGATTTTGTAGAAGCTCACAGTTAAGAGATCTTGAACTCAGCTGGGCAGTGGTGGCAGTGCAGACCTTTAATCCCAGCATTCAGGAAGCAGAGGCAGTTGGATCTTAGAGTTTGAGGCCAGCCTGGTCTACAGAGTGAGTTCAAGGACTGCCAGGGCTGTTATACAGAGAAACCTTAACACACACACACACACACGGAGAGAGAGAGAGAGAGAGAGAGAGAGAGAGAGAGAGAGAGAGAGAGAGAGAGTTTGTTTTGTTTTGGAGACAGTTTCTCTGTGTAGCCTTGGATATTCTGGAACTTGCATTGCAGACCAGGCTGGCCTTGAACTCAGAGACCAACCTGCCTCTGCCTCCCAAGTGCTGGGACAAAAAGCACTGGCCACCACACCACACCTGGCTGTGATTTTGAACTTTTAAAGTGTTGGAATTTTTTTTTTTTTTTTCTTTTCCGAGACAGGGTTTCTCTGTGGCTTTGGAGGCTGTCCTGGAACTAGCTCTTGTAGACCAAGCTGGTGTCGAATTCACAGAGATCCAGTGTTGGAATTTTTAAAGACTGCAGGAACTTTAAAAACTGGATTGAACTTTACATTATTAAAGAAACACGAGACTTTAGGACAAAGGGTAGAAAGCTGTGGCTTAAAAGTGATGTGTTTGTGTGTCAGGTTCAGGGGTGGAGTTGTGATGGTTAGTTTTAATTTTCAACTTAAGAAAATCTAGAATCTCTTGAGAAGGGCATCCCATGGAGGGATTGTTTAGATCAGGTTGGCCTGTGGTCCTGATTTGCTAATTATGGTCCAAAGACCCACCAGCTGAGGTGGGTCACATTTCTAGAGATGTGAATCCATGAAGTTTTCCCATAGAAGGCATCCTAAAAGAGCAAGAGGCTGGGCAGTGGTGGCACACGCCTTTAATCCCAGCACTCGGGAAGCAGAGGCAGGAGGATCTCTGTGAGTTCGAGGCCAGCCTGGTCTACAGATCGAGTTCTAGGACAGGCTCCAAAGCTACAGAGAAACCCTGTCTTGATAAAAATAAAATAAAATAATAAAATGAAATGAAAAATAAAAGAGCAAGAATAGGTAATGGGGAGTGGTGGCAAGGGGTAATTGGATGGTCTAAACAGCAGCTGGGGACTTATAGCAGCAGATAAAAATTAGATTAGTGAGCTATTTCATTATTGTTTCTCATAGAAATTGGGAATCCAATGTTTTAAAATGTGCCCTGGGGCATTGGAGAGTTGACTCTATGGTTACGAGTATTTGTTGCTCTTGCAGAGGACCAAGGTTCAATTCCCAGTACATACATGGTAGCCCTCAACTGTCTATAACTCTAGTCCCAGGGGATCTGACACCCACTTCTGATCTCAGTGGGTACCAGGCACATGTGGTACAACACATGCTGGCAAACACCAATACACATAAAATAATAAAACAAACATTAAAAAATGTAATCTGGGTTGGGTGGTGGTGGCACATACCTTTAGCCCCAGCACTTGGGAAGCAGAGGCAGCTGGATCTCTGTGAGTTCGAGACCAGCTTGGTCTACAAGAGCTAGTTCCAGGACAGCCTCCAAAGCCACAGAGAAAACCTCTATCAAAACAAACAAATAAACAAACAAGCAAACAACAAAACAAAAAACAAAAAAAATGTAATCTGCTAAGGCTGACCCTGTATGTTGGAGTCCTAACCCTCAAAGTGATAGTATTTAGACATGGTCAGATTATGGTAGAGCTTTTAGTGGGATTAGTACTCTCATTAAAGAAACCTGAGAGAGCTCATTCTCCCCTTGCACTCTCTGAGAACACAGCCAGCTGCTGCACATGTGAACTAGAAAGCAGGTCTTCAGCAAACCTAATTGTGCTGGGGTCTTGATACTGGGCCTTGTGGGTGCTGAAACTGTGAAAAATAAGTTTCTCATGTGTATGATTCTTCTGTCCCCACCCTACACCCCCCCAACTGATTTTTTTTTAGGTTGGCAGAGAAATTTGAACTTGCAGGCTGCATCAGCAGTGGGCAATAAGAGAGGTGTGGCCAAGAATTTAGAATATCAGAAATCATTTCTCCTTTTCTTTCTCAAAGTTAGAATCCCAAGAAAATCAAGGTGGCAATGTGCCTAGCTTATAACTGTGTTTCCCAGCCTCTTTTTGTAGATATGTGATTTTGGTATGATTAAATACTAGCTAATTGCCCAGTATTGGTTTCAGTTGGGAAATAACCAAAGGAAATTGACTGGTTGGTAATATTTACTGTTCTTCCAGATTTCCTCTTTAAACACTGAATGGACGACAATTGCTTCAGCAGCCATACTGGGCAGAGAAGGCTTCAGAATGAAAGATGAATTAGTTTGCCAGGACTACGATGACACAATGCAACAAACTGGGTGACTTACACAAAGAAATTTCCTCATAGTTTTTAAGGCTGAAAATCTGACCCCAAACTGGATAAGTAGCTGAGGGTGACCTTGAACTTCTGAACCTCCTGCCTCCACTACTCACCCAGGTGCTGTGATTTCAGGAATGTCCGACTGTGCTCTGTTTATGCAGTACTGGGAATTGAACTCAGGGCTTTATGTATGCTGGGCAAGCACTTTGCCAATGGATCTAAATGTGTGGACCCCAAACTTATTTATTTAAATAGTGTGTGTGTGTGTGTGTGTGTGTGTGTGTGTGTGTGTGTAGACCAGAGGGCAATTGTTCTCTTTCTCTTTCCTTCTATTATGTGGGTTCTGGGGATTGAACTCAGGGTGTCAGACATGGTGGCAGGAACCTTTATTAACTGCTGAGCTATCTCACTGGTCCACCAAAGTTTTTTAAATAATATATTTTATTTTTGAAAGTTATACAATGTATATTGATCATATCCATCCACTATTACCTCCTTTCAACTTCCTCTAGTATTCCCACCCCATATTTCTCCCAGTTTTATGTCCTCTTTAACACAAACACACACACACACACACACAAAAAAAAAAAAAAAAAAAAAAAAAAAAAAAAAAAACCTTCACAAAGTGAATGGTACCAAGAGAAGTGGGGAGGGGAGACTAGCATGGACTGAATATCTACTATTAGCCATGTGCTAAGAAATTTACCAGTTATTTAAATGTCATCCATGCTGGGCAGTGGTGGCACATGACTTTAATGCCAGCATTCAGGATGCCGGCCTGGTCCTCAGAATGAGTTCCAGGATAGCCAGGGATACACAGAGAAGCCCTGTTTCAAAAACAAAACAACAACAAAACAAACATAAAAAGTCACAAAACACCAGCCAGTGGTGGTGCATGCCTTTAGTTCCAGCACTTGGGAGGCAGAGAAAGGTGGATCTCTGTTAG